ATATACCCTTTGTTGGCAATGACACAGGTCAAACATTTTCTGTAAGTCTTCACAAGGTTTTCACACACTGTTGCTGGTATTTTGGCCCATTCCTCCATGCAGATCTCCTCTAGAGCAGTGATGTTTTGGGGCTGTCGCTGGGCAACACAGACTTTCAACTCCCTCCAAAGATTTTCTATGGGGTTGAGATCTGGAGACTGGCTAGGCCACTCCAGGACCTTGAAATGCTTCTTACGAAGCCACTCCTTCGTTGCCCGGGCGGTGTGTTTGGGATCATTGTCATGCTGAAAGACTCAGCCACGTTTCATCTTCAATGCCCTTGCTGATGGAAGGAGGTTTTCACTCAAAATCTCACGATACATGGCCCCATTCATTCTTTCCTTTACACGGATCAGTCGTCCTGGTCCCTTTGCAGAAAAACAGCCCCAAAGCATGATGTTTCCACCCCCATGCTTCACAGTAGGTATGGTGTTCTTTGGATGCAACTCAGCATTCTTTGTCCTCCAAACACGACGAGTTGAGTTTTTACCAAAAAGTTCTATTTTGGTTTCATCTGACTATATGACATTCTCCCAATCCTCTTCTGGATCATCCAAATGCACTCTAGCAAACTTCAGACGGGCCTGGACATATACTGGCTTAAGCAGGGGGACACGTCTGGCACTGCAGGATTTGAGTCCCTGGCGGCGTAGTGTGTTACTGATGGTAGGCTTTGTTACTTTGGTCCCAGCTCTCTGCAGGTCATTCACTAGGTCCCCCCGTGTGGTTCTGGGATTTTTGCTCACCGTTCTTGTGATCATTTTGACCCCACGGGGTGAGATCTTGAGTGGAGCCCCAGATCGAGGGAGATTATCAGTGGTCTTTTATGTCTTCCATTTCCTAATAATTGCTCCCACAGTTGATTTCTTCAAACCAAGCTGCTTACCTATTGCAGATTCAGTCTTCCCAGCCTGGTGCAGGTCTACAATTTTGTTTCTGGTGTCCTTTGACAGCTCTTTGGTCTTGGCCATAGTGGAGTTTGGAATGTGACTGTTTGAGGTTGTGGACAGGTGCCTTTTATACTGATAACAAGTTCAAACAGGTGCCATTAATACAGGTAACGAGTGGAGGACAGAGGAGCCTCTTAAAGAAGAAGTTACAGGTCTGTGAGAGCCAGACATCTTGCTTGTTTGTAGGTGACCAAATACTTATTTTCCACCATATTTTGCAAATAAATTCATTTAAAATCCTACAATGTGATTTTCTGGAGAAAAAATATCTAAATTTGTCTGTCATAGTTGACATGTACCTATGATGAAAATTACAGGCCTCTCTCATCATTTTAAGTGGGAGAACTTGCACAATTGGTGGCTGACTAAATAATTTTTTCCCCCACTGTATATGGAGACCTCCGCATTGTTACAAAATTTGGGAGGTGCAAAGGGATACGGCAGGGAGCTCAAGTTGGCCTCCGCATGTTTCCAGAGGCTCCGCAACTGCATCACACCCTCCATAAGGAGCCTCCAACCACTTTTTCGGATCAAGCATAAATGAGCTGTTAGGATGCTGGATTCCCCTAAAGTAAATTTGTTTTGCCATAATTATGTTATTACTCCTGTCTAAATCATTCAAAATACTTCACCAGGGAGCATGACTTAGCCACAGAGGATCATTATAGCTATGGATTGTTTCAAATCACAAGTGTGTAGGCCTATGCCTACCCTTACGAAAAAAGATTGCAGACAGACTGCAGTATAACTGCAGTTAAAGTGCAGTATAACTGCAGTATGCAGCAAATACTGCATCCAAAATACTTTTTTTTTTACTGCAGTAATTTCAGTGTAACTGCAGTTAGAGTACAGTTCAAGTCTTTTTTTGTAAGGGTGAGAATATTTTATGTACGAACCGGGCGCCAGGGGGCACGAGTGTATTACCGGCTGGTCACATCAAGCCCAGATGATAGTGGGAGAGCCGTAGCGCCCACTAGCGGCTGCCCAGGCTAGGTAGAGTACCCGGTGGTAGCCGGCTAGTGACAGTGTCTAAGGTTCAGGGAAGGGTCCTGTGCGGAGGCCCGCTAGTGATGACTGTTTAACAGTCTGATGGCCTGGAGTTAGAGGTTTACCAGTCTCTTGGTCACAGCTTTGATGCACCTGTAGTGTCTCCGCCTTCTAGCTGGCTTAGGCCCTTGATAATCTTCTTGGCCTTCCTGTGACACCGGGTGCTATAGATGTCCTGGAGGGCAGGCAGTGTGCCCCCGATGATGCGTTGGGCTGACCGCACCACCCTCTGGACAGCCCTGCGGTTGCGGGCGTTGGTGAAACAGTCTGACAGAATGCTCTTGATGGTGCATCTGTAGACGTTCGTGAGGGTCTCATCCACATTTCTTCAGCCTCCTGAGGTTGAAGAGGCACTGTTGCACCTTCTTCACCATGCTGTCGGTATGGAGGGACCATTTCAGGTCGTCAGCGAAGTGCACGCCGAGGAACTTGAAGCTTTTGACCCTCTCCACTGCAGCCCCGTCGATGTGGATGGGGGTGTGCTTGCTCTGCGTTCTCCTGTAGTCCACGATCAGCTCCTGGCACCTCCCTGTAGGCTGTCTCTGTTGGTAATCAGGCCTACCACTGTTGTTGTCAGCAAACTTGATTGAGTTGGAGACGTGCGTTGGCTGAGCACACACCCCTGTGGGGTCTCCATGTTGAGGATCAGCGTGGCGGAGGTGTTGTTGCCTACCTTCACCACCTGCGGTCGGCCCATCAGCAAGTCTAAGACCCAGTTGCATAGGGAGGGGTTCAGACCCAAGGCCCTGAGCTTAGTGATGAGCTTGGAGGGCACTATGGTGTTGAAGGCTGAGCTGTAGTCAATGAACAGCATTCTTAAATAGGTATTTATCTTGTCCAGGTGGGATAGGGCAGTATGCAGTGCAATGGCGATTGTTTTGTCCGTGAAATTGTAGTGGGTCTAGGGTGTCGGGTAAGGTGATATGATCCTTAACTAGCCTCTCAAAGTACTTCATGATGACAAAAGTGGGTGGTACGGGGAGATAGTCATTTAGGTTAGTTACCTTCGCTTTCTTGGGTACAGGAACAAGGGTGGACACCTTTAAGCAAGTGGGGACAACAGACTGGGACAGGGAGAGATTGAATATGTCTGTAAACACTTCAGCCAGCTGGTCTGCACATGCGCGGAGGATGTGGTTTAGGATTGTCAAGACTCCAGCCACCCAAGTCAGACTGTTCTCGCTGCTACAGCACAGCAATCGGTACCGATGCGCCAAGTCTGGAACCAACAGGACCCTGAACAGCTTCTACCCCCAAGCCACAAGACTGCTAAATAGTTATCCAAATACACTACATTACCAAAAGTATGTGGACACCTGCTCGTCGAACATCTCATTCCAAAATCATGGGCATTAATATGGAGTTGGTCCCCCCTTTGCTGCTATAACAACCTCCTCTTCTGGGAAGGTTTTACATTAGAACATTGCTACGGGCACTTGCTTCCATTCAGCCACAAGAGCATTAGTGAGGTTGGGCAATTAGGCGTGGCTCGCAGTCGGCGTTCCAATTCGTCCCAAAGCTGAAATGTCTCGAGTCAGTAAATTGCATGCTCAGTGTGCAATTAGTGTTTAACATGATTTTTGAATGACTACCTCATCTCTGTACTCCACACATACAATTCTCTGTAAGGTCCCTCAGTCGAGCTGTGAATTTCAAACAGTCAACCACAAAGACCAGGGAGGTTTTGCAATGCCTCGCAAAGAAGGGCACATATTGGTAGATGGGTAAAAATAAAAATAAACAGACATTGAATATCCCTTTGAGCATGGTGAATATATTAATTACACTTTGGATGATGTATCAATACCCCCAGTCACTACAAAGATACAGGCGTCCTTCCTAACTCAGTTGACGGAGAGGATGGAAACCGCTCAGGGATTTCACCATCAGACCAATGGTGACTTTAAAACAGTTACAGAGTTCAATGGCTGTGATAGGAGAAAACTGAGGATGGATAAGCAACATTGTAGTTACTCCATAATACTAGCCTAAATGACAGAGTGAAAAGGAGGAAGCCTGTACAGAATTAAAAATATTCCAAAACATGCATCCTGTTTTCAATAAGGCACTAAAGTAAAACGACAAAAAATGTGGCAAATAAATCAACTTTATGTCCTGAATACAAAGCATTATGTTTGGGGCAAATCCAACACATCACTGAATAACACTAAATATTTTTAAGCATGGTGGTGGCTGTTATGGGTATGCTTGTCATCTGCCAGGACTAGGGAGTTTTTTGGGGGATGAAAATAAACAGAATAGAGCTAAGCACAGGCAAATTCCTAGAGGAAAACCTGGTTCAGTCTGCTTTCTATCAGACACTATACACTGGAGTTGCTTACCAAGCCACAGTATGTTGCAGGCCAGATTTCTGTATTTTGAAAGTTGCATACCTTGAAAACTTGATTGCTGACATGCAAAACATTGTGGGACAATATCAATGGACTAATGAAACGAATACTAAAAGATAATTTTTAGGTGCAGTTGCCCTTTTAACATGCTTGAATGTCTTACTTCGGCTAGGTGTGGAATTGTTATAAGCTAGGATTAGTGGCAGTGGAGATTCTTCCATCACTGTGAGATATAGGCCTACTATTTAGTAGTCATTGACTTGAGTGAATAAAATGGTGCAATATTAACTTGGTTATAGTGTTATCAGACTATGTATTCTGATAGTGATGCTTTGCTTTGGACTGAAAACCGGTCAGTTTTTTCTGCACAGAGACAATATTAAATGGAACTAGATTTTTCTAGAACAAGAACATCAAGGTTACTTAGATTCTTCATTTTAAAAATCACTAATAAAGAAAACATCTGCAGAAACGTACTTTACACAACACTAAGGCTGCATTTAGGCTGTGTCTACACATGCAGCCCAATTCTGATATTTTTGTCACTAATTGGTCTTTTGACCAATCAGATCAGCTCTGAAAAAGGGCTGATATGAAAAGATCTGATGAGACTGGTCAAAAGACCAATTAGTGAAATAAAGATCAGAATTGGGCTGCCTGTCTAAATGCAGCTATAGTGTGTAAGTGGATCATTTAAAGTTTAGACACAGTCAAACATTGACCAAGGAAAGGGTTGTATTCTTGAAATTATAAATACAACAAGATTGGGAAACCATTCTTAACATTAGTCATTGCATGGAACCAAAGTGCTCTCTATCTAGCATTTCTGCAATAATTTCTATACAGTACATACATCACATGTATAATTAGTTGTTAAGTACAAGGGTGTAGGACAAGCCCTACAAGCATAGACCATACAAAGACAAAATAAGATCTGAGGACATGCTCCAATAGACCACAGGTGCCTAACTCCTAAAAGGCATGATGGGTTAACCATAGGCACTGTGACACTAAATGATGGCTTGTTCTCTTGCTGGAGGGCAGGTAGGTAGTGTTTGGGAGATTCCCATCTCACTGTCCAACTGCTATAACTCAACCCATCACTCATCATAATGCAGTGAAGATAGGAACTTATCCACATCCAAGTCATCAGGGAAGGAATCCATTAGTTTCTGCTGTTTCTGAGGGGTAACAAACACAAGCAAAAAGAAAACTGAGTTCACATTTAATGCAGGACATTATGTCAAATATCTATGATTGGGTTGATTCGATCACATTCAATTATGAACCTCAGGAGAGATTACGATACACAGCTTGAATAGAAAATTCTGTATGTTTTGCGCACCTTTGCTTTCTTCTTACTGCAAGATGAACCTGAGAGATCTTTCTTTGCTGGCGGGCTAGCCAGGGGCTCGGGCTGCTTGCGCTTCTTGCTCTTGGTGGCTACAGGGGTCACTGTTCCAGCCCCCTCCTGGCGCAGGCTGTCTTTCAGTGGGGTGCCCGTCCTGGCGATGGCGGCTCGGGATAGGATCATCAGTGTGTGGGCCGCCATGTTGATGCTGTTTTCACTCCCTGCCTCGCTGGCTGGGCTGCAGGAGGGAAGGTCCGGGGTGGCGGGAGGGACCAGGTGCCTGGGGGTGCCCTCTCCGTCTCTGCCCAGCCTCTGGCGTGCAGGGGTCCTGGGGCAGTCTAGAGACTCCTGGAGACGGCCAGGGGTCCGAGGAAGAGGCAGCTCCGGACAGCCCATGCCTGGCCTCTTAGGAGGGGTGCAGGGAGGGTTTAGACCCTGGATGTCGTGGAGCATTTCGGCAGCCTGCTTGGTCAGTGGGCTGGTCTTGGAGGGGGTTTTGCTGGAGCTAGCCTGGGGGACAGGGGTTTGTGAGCCCACTGGGGCCGGGCTGAACTCTTTTGGTGCTGGTATGGGCTGCTGCTCTAGCCTGCCACCCTCCAGCTCATTCTCCTTATTGGCAGTGACATGAGGGGGGTCCTGAGAAGATATTTTCTCGGTCCGTCCCTCCCATTCCTTGGCAGGAGATTTCTCAGTAGGCTCTTGTCTACTTGTGTCCTCCTTCTCTTTCCTGCTCCCTGATCTCAGTCTGTGATCAGAGGAAGAAGACATGGAGCTCTGGGCATCCTTAGGTTCTGTTCCACCATCGTCCTTGTCTGCTGATTGAGATATCTTCCTGGACTCTGACTGTGAGGCATCAGTCTGACTGCTACCAGCACTCTGGAATCTACTGGTACTTGCATTTTGACCTCTAGCATTTTGTTCTGCGTCCCTCTTTGATGGGGTCTTTTTCGCAGCTTCTTTCTGCTTTTGGACAGTGGAGGATTTCTCGGTCTCTGTTCCGGTCCATGATGTTTGAGTGTTGTCCGTGCATCTTACAGTCTCTATTCTCCTTTTCGGCCTGCTGCTCCCCAAGATAGCAAAGGCCGATTTAGGTATCTCTTTCTCCACCTGTTGGACAGAAGGTGATACAGGAGTAGCTGTTGCTGGAGCTTTGGAGGAGGCGGCAGTTGTTCTGGTCTGAGTGGAAGTTTTACCAGCAGACCCATCAAAGCAAAGCATCCTCCTATGGCTGGGGCTCGAGCTAACTGCTACCCTCTGCTGCCCAGTGCTTTCAGAGGATTGCCCCTGGACCTGCTTTGTAACCATATTCGATCCAGAAGCTCCCGTTTTTCCTGAAATGCACATGCAAGCAACATTTCTGAACAAAATAACAGGATAACAGTAAACAGACAATGACATTATGGAGAACTGAACACTAATCCTTACCTGAGACTGAGGTGTCCTTGTGTACCAGTTTAGGCTTGGTTTTCACTGCTGCTGGCTGCTTTGCTGAAGCAGGGCTAGGCATGGCTATCAACTGAAACAAACAAATAATCACTAGATGTACATGTTACTGTAGCTAAGGTAGCCTATCAGTTCAAGAAAAGGGATTAAATGCAAATATGTAAAACAGAAGAGAAAAAAACTACAATAAAAGGAATGCTTACCTGATTTGGAACTATTGAGAACTGTCCTGCATTGTTCTGCCCAACAACAGACACAGGAACCACCATGCTTTGCAGCATGGGCTGAACTGGTGAAGAAATGATGAGTCTAGATCCTGGAAAGATATAACTGGTTAGACATTTACCTGCCAGAAAAACAGCATGGCAAATTAAGTGAGTGATGACTATTGGGTAATTCCACGGTAAAGGCAGTTGCGTTAAGATTAGAGATTTTTCACTTAAGAATGTATGCCAAACAAAAACTATTGATTTCAAAATTTAACAAACCATACAACTTTATGCACAAGGACTACTTTTAACAATTTACACAGAATAAAAAAATTATAACATTTACTGGAAGAACTGTGCAGATGCAAAGTTTGGTAACAGAATTTCAGCAAAATCTCCCAACGTTTTTTTTTATGTGTCCACGTTTTCCAAAAACGTAAATATATGCTCTGAATTAAGATTCAACGATATCTGCAGAAAGAATGATGTCAGCTATGTAATGGCACATTGACTTTGAAAAAATAGATATTTTGGTTATTGAACTACAGTTTTACACCCGGTAATGGAATTGTGGTAATGGAATTTCATCATGGATCCCTGATCTGTACATAATTATGAATATCATTCCCTTCATGGTGATGATCCTAAATAGGTACACAAAGGTGTAATGCCATATCCTCCTTTGCATATTTGGGTATTCTACACACTGGCTATTATTTTAATGAGCTCTGCCCCCAAACAAGACCACATTTGGTTGGTCCGGTCCAAATCTGAACCAATAATAGACGTCAATGTTTCACACATTTGGACATCAAAGTACAGCACAGTAGAGGTCAGTAGAGTACAGCACAGAACAGTAGAGTTCAGTACAGTACATTTTACTCAACTCGTGTGCTATACTGTGTACTGTACTGAACTCTACTGTATAGCACTGAACTATACTCTACTTTCTCTACTGTACTGTGCTGTTCAAACTTGTGAACCAAACTGTGCTACTTTGATTTCCCATTGTAGCCAATTCAATAGCAGAAATTCCATTACCGATTTTTCAGAAAGTCGAGTTTTAATCACTTAATAAAGAAAATTGATACCAGTATAAGCACTATAACTAATTGATAGGTCTACCTTTACTTGTCACTTCTGTGAACTTCCATTATCCTCCCTCCTCATGAGGGAGAGAAATGAGAAAATATCTTAAAGATGTGGGTTTTCGGTAACGGAATTTCAAGCCACAAGGCAATGTTTCTAAAATTTACAGAAAGCAGAACAATTTCTCCAAAACGACATACAAATGAAATTTCTTTAACATTATTGTGTTTTGATATATTTCAAGACTTATACTGGTAGATGTTTTCTAAGACTTCTTTTCCATCTGTTTGACCAGAAATCAAAGCCTTTGTTATTCCAAATTTATAGGATGGAAAATGGTCAGAAAATGTATGTCTTAATAAAATGAATAATAGACTCAGCTTTCATTTGACATGCTCCTATGAACTTCATCTGTTGGTACTCATTGGTCCTTTTACATGGAAATGACCTATAGCTTTATGATTCAAGAACAAAATATTATAGCTGCAATATGTAACTTTCTGAGCGACCCGACCAAATTCACACAGAAACGTTTGTTATCAATTGATTGAAAGCAAGTCTAAGAAGCGGTAGATCTGTTCTATTGTGCACTATTTCTATGCTTCCCGAGCTTAAGTTTCGTTTTTGCGTCTTTTATTTTGGGTTTTGTACACAAGCTTCAAACAGCTGAAAATACAATATTTTTGGTTATGGAAAATATATTTCACAGTGGTTTAGATGGTACAATGATTCTCTACACTATACTTGCTTATTTTGTCACAAACTGAAATGTGTGCGATATTTGCATAGTGCATCTTTAAGTATTTAAACGCTGTCTTACCAGGGGAATAGCAGGGTGGAGTGGCCAGAGCATATGTGGTGGGGGGTACAGTCTGTACCTGTGGGGCGCCACTGGGTAACATCACCTTGTTGGACTGGTGGTCTGTGGCTGTTGTATCTGTCACTAAGATATAGCTGTTGGTGGATGTGGCTGAATCAAAGGGCAGCTGAAAGTAGTAGCCTGGCTGTGTAAACGCTGATGATGTCCCTGCCAATGCTGCCACCTCCCCTGCTTTCCCACTAAGAGGATTGGTCTCTGCTGGTTGGAGGACTTCTGTCCTCTGTAAGCTGGTCACCGCCTGCACCGTCTCCTCCTGAGCCATGGGGGCGCCACTGAGAGCCGGGGCCTTAGCAGGTGACTTGGTAGGGGAGGAGAGGAAGATTGTGGGGATCCTGTCCCCAGTGATGCTGGACACAGCCTGGTTCAGGGCTGAGTCACAGGAGGGCTCCTCCTGCTCATCGCTGATGATGATCTTCAGGGCTACAATCTTACTGGGGTCAACTTCCTTGCCTGTAGGGTTGGGGTTTGGGATGAAGGTTGGGGCAGCAGGAGTGGTTGTTGTTGTAACTGTTGATGGGACAGCCATAGAGGGTATGGTCTGTGGTAGAGGTTGTGAAATTCCTACAGTGCTGGGAGGGGTCATATTCCTATGAGGCAGGTTAGAGGCCTGTATGGGAGCCTTGTTTGACTGATCCAGCACTGGCATGGAATTGGACAGGGCAGGTGAAGAGTTAAGAAGTGAAGCTTGGTTATCCATCACTTGTCCATCATCAGCCCCCACGGTGTTCTCATTGCCCAATATGTTTTTCACAGCAGTGACCGTACTGGTTTCAGATGAACCTGCGTTGCATGCTGACGCCGGATGATTTGTTCCACTCTCCTGTCTGACCAGCTCAAAGACATCTGGGGGAGCTATACTGTCAAGGGGAAGAGTATTCAGAGGTTCATCTATATCCACGCCTGATCTATCCTGATCAAATATGGAGCCGGAGTCAATCCTATCAGAGTCCTTGGCGGCAGAAGAAGCAGCGCCGGTAAGTTTATCGATACATGCTGACGGTCGAGTTGAGCTAGCTCCCCTTTCTCGACCCTCTGGTACTGGGTCCAGGAGTTGTTGAGCTAGCTCCCTTTCTCGACCCTCTGGTACTGGGTCCAGGAGTTGTTGAGCTAACTCCCCTTCTCGACCCTCTGGTACTGACTCCAGGACTTGCATTTGAAGTGCTTGAAACAGGAGGTGCAGATTTCCTTGTTTTGTTACTCTTGGGCTCTTGACTGGACTTTGTCGCTCTAGTTGTTGTTTCTTGTCCTCGTGTCGAATCTTCAGGCCCAGTGCCTGAGAAATGAAAGAGAAATCCCATTGTCAGAAAGAGATTTCTGATGAAGCATCAACATTGTTTAGTATATAATTCCAACAGGTCATGAGGACTTTGTCCATACCTGAGTCTCCAGTCTCAGGAGAGCCATCAATACACCTAGTCTCAGTCTCACCATTCTCTGTGGTGGTATTGCTCACGTTCCCAGCTCCTTGTTCAGTATCCTCACTGGTTTTGCTTTTGCCTTAATGCAAAGAATCAAGAGATTTAGTGTAAGAATGTGATTTTATATAATCTTAGTCAAACATTAATCACCAAGCCTACTTCATGCATTGTCAGGAGCAACAAAATCCTGCACATGATCTAGATTAAATCATCATGTTTACCGTAATCAAAGAGGTCAAAGAGAGCCTGGAAGGCTGGGTCGGACTCGGTTTGCTCCAATATGTCTTGTATAACATCATTAGACATATGGATCTCCCCCTGCACAGAGTAAAATGTCAGGAGAAAGCACATATCCACACTATGTACTAAAGACTGACAATGTTCCCTGAATTCAAGTGGAGAAATTAGCAAGTATAGCAAGTCTGTCAGAACATGACATTACCTGCAGGCCCAGAATTTCATCTATGGACTGGTCAGGCTCCATGGTGCTGCATGATGCCTTTAAAGCCTGGGGACTGCCATCACTACAAGTAGAGAGAAAGAAACATGCATAGGTAAGAAATATCTACTCAACAGCCAAATGTAATAAGTAATGAAGTCAGTACTGTTAAAATGTTACAAAAGAAGATGTACTTTTATTATTACCTTGCTAGGATTTTGTTTATGTTTTCAGCAAGCTTCTCTTGTAAGGACTTGTCATTTAGAATCCTCTCTCTTGCATTTTGTATCACCATTTGCTGCAAAGATACAAACAATTAAATGATAAATTCATATCAGTCAACAGGGGTTAGTAGTTTTTTCAAATGCAACATCTTTTTAATACAGAGTATTAACTTTGTTTTGTACTCACAGGGAAATTCTCTGTGACTGCCTCTTCACTCTGGGGCTCTGCTGTCAGGCTACTGGCTGCCATGTTGGCTCTTCCAGTCCCACCGGATCCACTGGAGCCCCCACCTCTCCTCCTGGGGGAGTCACTGGGAAGATTACTATTTTGTCATAACTCAATCTACCAGGGATGTGCATCTTTCCCTTTCAAGACGATTTGATACGCATCTAGATAAATGGGCTTCAAAACATTACAGGAACAATACTAGTCGGTGCGATTCGGTTTGATTAGAGAACGAATCGATGCGATTCTGTTCGATACACTAACATTTCTTGCATAAATACATTCACTCAAACACATTCACATTCTGCTTCTGATGGAGCTCATGAGCTGGGCCTCTCTGAGCTGACTTCGGTGTGTAAATGATGTACCTCCCGTTGGTCAGCGCGCGAAGCTGGGCACAGTGCGCAGTTTGACTAGGCTATTGATATTGCCTAGGGTTGTTTGGCATTCAAAATGACTTGTGGATCAATGACTGTCAACACAGTTACAGTGCCTTCAGAAAGTTTTTATACCCCTTGACTTAATCCACATTTTGTTGTGTTACAGCCTGAATTCAAAATGTATTAAAGCAATTTCTCTCAGTCATCTACACACAATAGTGCATAATGACAAAGTGAAAACATGTTTTTAGAAATGTTTGCTAATTTATTGAAAATGAAATACAGAATCATCTAATTTACATAAGTATTCACATCCCTTTGCTAGGACACTCCTAATTGAGCTCAGGTGCTTCCAATTTTGTTTGATCATCCTTGAGCTGTCACTACAACTTGATTGAAGTCCACTTGTGGAAAATTCAATTGTTTGGACATGATTTAGAAAGAAGCACCTGTCTATATAAAGGTCCCACAGTTGACAGTCCATGTCAGAGCAGAAACTATACCATGAAGTCCAAGGAACTGTTCATAGCTCTCAGAGAGATAGAATTGTGATTAGGCAAATGTATCTGGGGAAGGGTATAAAACAATTTCTGGAGTGTTGAAAGTTTAAGAGCACAGTGGTCTCCATCATTGGGAAATTGAAAAAATATGGCCCAGAGCCTAGAGTCTGGGTAGTTCTGTCCGACCAATGACTCCTGACAGAACTACAGAGTTCCTTGCCTGAGATGGGAAAACCTGCCAGAAGAAGAAACAGTCTCTACAGCACTTCACCAATCTGGGCTTTATGGGAGAGTGGCCAGGCGGAAGTCACTCCTGAGAAAAAGGCACATGAAAGACTCAGAGCATAAGGCAAAAGATTGTGTGGTCCGATGAGACAAAAATGGATCTCTTTGACCTAAATGCAAAGCGCCACGTCTGGAAAAAAAACAGGCACAGCTCATCACCCGTCTAACACCATCCCTACCGTGAAGCATGGTGGTGGCAGCATCATGCTATGGGGATGCTTTTCAGCGGCAGGGTCTCTGAGATTGGTAAGGATAGAGGGAACAATGAAGTGAGCCAAATACAAGCAAATCCTTAATGAGAACCTGTTTCAGAGTGCAAACGACCTCAGACTGGGGGCGAAGATTTACGTTCCAACAGGACAATGACCCCAAGCATACAGCCAATGCAACGCTGGAATGGCTTCAGATCAAGAACGCGAAAGCCCTTGAGTCGCCCAGCCAAAGCCCAGGCTTCAATCCCATTGAAAACCTGTGGAAAGACTTGAAGATTGCTGTTCACCGCCGCTCCCCATCTAACTTAACAGAGCATGAGAAAATCTGCAAGGAAGCATGGGAGAAAATACACAAATCCAGACGTGCAAAGCTGATACAGACCTACCCAAGACGACTCAAAGCAGTAATCCCCGCCAAAGGTGCTTCTACAAAATATTGACTCAGGGGTGTGAATACTTACAGTGGGGAGAACAAGTATTTGATACACTGCCGATTTTGCAGGTTTTCCTACTTACAAAGCATGTAGAGGTCTGTAATTTTTATCATAGGTACACTTCAACTGTGAGAGACAGAATCTAAAACAAAAATCCAGAAAATCACATTGTATGATTTTTAAGTAATTAAATTGTATTTTATTGCATGACATAAGTATTTGATCACCTACCAACCAGTAAGAATTCCGGCTCTCACAGACCTGTTAGTATTTATTTAAGAAGCCCTCCTGTTCTCCACTCATTACCTGTATTAACTGCACCTGTTTGAACTCGTTACCTGTATAAAAGACACCTGTCCACACACTCAATCAAACAGAGTCCAACCTCTCCACAATGGCCAAGACCAGAGAGCTGTGTAAGGACATCAGGGATAAAATTGTAGACCTGCACAAGGCTGGGATGGGCTACAGGACAATAGGCAAGCAGCTTGGTGAGAAGGCAACAACTGTTGCCGCAATTATTAGAAAATGGAAGAAGTTCAAGATGACGGTCAATCACCCTCGGTCTGGGGCTCCATGCAAGATCTCACCTCGTGGGGCATCAATGATCATGAGGAAGGTGAGGGATCAGCCCAGAACTACACGGCAGGACCTGGTCAATGACCTGAAGAGAGCTGGGACCACAGTCTCAAAGAAAACCATTAGTAACACACTACGCCGTCATGGATTAAAATCCTGCAGCGCACGCAAGGTCCCCCTGCTCAAGCCAGCGCATGTCCAGGCCCGTCTGAAGTTTGCCAATGACCATCTGGAGGATCCAGAGGAGGAATGGGAGAAGGTCATGTGGTCTGATGAGACAAAAATATAGCTTTTTGGTCTAAACTCCACTCGCCGTGTTTGGAGGAAGAAGAAGGATGAGTACAACCCCAAGAACACCATCCCAACTGTGAAGCATGGAGGTGGAAACATCATTCTTTGGGGATGCTTTTCTGCAAAGGGGACAGGATGAATGCACCGTATTGAGGGGAGGATGGATGGGGCCATGTATCATGAGATCTTGGCCAACAACCTCCTTCCCTCAGTAAGAGCATTGAAGATGGGTCGTGGCTGGGTCTTCCAGCATGACAACGACCCGAAACACTCAGCCAGGGCAACTAAGGAGTGGCTCCGTAAGTAGCATCTCAAGGTCCTGGAGTGGCCTAGCCAGTCTCCAGACCTTAACCCAATAGAAAATCTTTGGAGGGAGCTGAAAGTCCGTATTGTCCAGCGACAGCCCCGAAACCTGAAGGATCTGGAGGTCTGTATGGAGGAGTGGCCCAAAATCCCTGCTGCAGTGTGTGTAAACCTGGTCAAGACCTACAGGAAACGTATGATCTCTGTAATTGCAAACAAAGGTTTCTGTACTAAATATTAAGTTCTGCTTTTCTGATGTATCAAATACTTATGTCATGCAATAAAATGCAAATAAATTACTTAAAAATCACACAATGTGATTTTCTGGATTTTTGTTTTAGATTCCGTCTCTCACAGTTTAAGTGTACCTATGATAAAAATTACAGACCTCTACATGCTTTGTAAGTAGGAAAACCTGCAAAATCGGCAGTGTATCAAATACTTGTTCTCCCCACTGTATGTAAATTAGCTATTTCTGTATTCCATTGTAAATTAGCTATTTCTGTATTCCATTTTCAGTAAATGTGCAAACATTCTTAAAAACATGTTTTCACTTTGTCATTATGGGGCACTGTGTGTACATGGGTGAGACAAAAAACTATTTTTTAATTCAGGCTGTAACAACAAAAGGTGGAATAAGTCAAGGGGTATGATTACTTTCTGAAGGCACTGTAACTGTGTTGACAGTCATTGATCTACAAGGAGAGGACGCATCAGTTGTCACCAAAGATGTGAGGTATTTCCGGAAGGTAGAAAGAATGTAATATGAGCAACAACAAAAAAATTGTGAACCGCCAATTCGTAAACTTTTAATCGATTTTCTGACCGATGCATGCTACATTTGGATCAGTTTGGGGTCCGCGGACCGATGCACTTGTATCTTTAAACATTTTAGTAGGGGATCTATGCGTATAGTTGAATCGTTACATCCCTACAATCAACACACGGGTAAGAACAACTTACAAAGGAGTAAACAAATGGATGACAATGACTATCTTACCATTTCCGACGCCCTGGGGATAATGGTCCTGGAGTTAACCGGTTGTCTGGAACCATTATTTGCAAAGGTGACTCTCCTGTAATAAAAAAACAAGTGTTGATTATTCAATTAAGCTTTATTGACAACCTTTCCTATAAATTGGTATTAATGTCCATAATAATTATTACAGCAATTGACAGTTAAAATGAGATGTGATATACATACACCATACACCTACTGTAACAACCTTCCCCAGTACACTGCTGCTCATGGATGCATTTGTGTTTACTTACGGTTCACATTGACGAGCAGACGTCCTCCATCTTGGATCTGGGGCTGTGTGCTGCAGATGGGGGAGGGTCTGGTCTGCTGGGAGCTGTAGCAGACTGGGGTGGAGTGTCCCAGGATGCTCTGAGGGGTGTCGAGGGGGCTGGCAATGCCCTGGGCCGACGGAGGGGCTGACGATGACAGAAACCCAGAGCTGGGGGACTGCGTTGATGACAAGGCTCTCTGTCGCCCCCTCATATTCACGATCCCATTACGTGTGCGGACTGCAGAGGAAATACAGTGAGGGAAAAAAGTATTTGATCCCCTGTTGATTTTGGACGTTTGCCCACTGACAAAAGAAATGATCAGTCTATAATTTTAATGGTAGATTTATTTGAATAGTGAGAGACAGAATAACAACAAAAAAATCCAGAAAAACGCATGTCAAAAATGTTATAAATTAATTTGCATTTTAATGAGGGAAATAAGTATTTGACCCCCTCTCAATCAGAAAGATTTCTGTCTCCCAGGTGTCTTTTATACAGGTAACGAGCTGAGATTAGGAGCACACTCTTAAAGGGAGTGCTCCTAATCTCAGCTTGTTACCTGTATAAAAGACACCTGTCCACAGAAGCAATCAATCAATCAGATTCCAAACTCTCCACCATGGCCAAGACCAAAGAGCTCTCCAAGGATGTCAGGGAAAAGATTGTAGACCTACACAAGGCTGGAATGGGCTACAAGACCATCGCCAAAAGGCTTGGTGAGAAGGTGACAACAGTTGGTGCGATTATTCGCAAATGGAAGAAACGCAAAAGAACTGTCAATCTCCCTCGGCCTGGGGCTCTATGCAAGATCTCACCTCGTGGAGTTGCAATGATCATGAGAACGGTGAGGAATCAGCCCAGAACTACACGGGAGGATCTTGTCAATGATCTCAAGGCAGCTGGGACCATAGTCACCAACAAAACAATTGGTAACACACTACGCCGTGAAGGACTGAAATCCTGCAGCGCCCGCAAGGTCCCCCTGCTCAAGAAAGCACATATACAGGCCCGTCTGAAGTTTGCCAATGAACATCTGAAGGATTCAGAGGAGAACTGGGTGAAAGTGTTGTGGTCAGATGAGACCAAAATCGAGGTCTTTGGCATCAACTCAACTCGCCGTGTTTGGAGGAGGAGGAATGCTGCCTATGACCCCAAGAACACCATCCCCACCGTCAAACATGGAGGTGGAAACATTATGCTTTGGAGGTGTTTTTCTGCTAAGGTGACAGGACAACTTCACTGCATCAAAGGGACGATGGACGGGGCCATGTACCGTCAAATCTTGGGTGAGAACCTCCTTCCCTCAGCCAGGGCATTGAAAATGGGTCGTGGATGGGTATTCCAGCATGACAATGACCCAAATCACACGGCCAAGGCAACAAAGGAGTGGCTCAAGAAGCAGCACATTAAGGTCCTGGAGTGGCCTAGCCAGTCTCCAGACCTTAATCCCATAGAAAATCTGTGGAGGGAGCTGAAGGTTCCAGTTGCCAAACGTCAGCCTCGAAACCTTAATGACATGGAGAAGATCTGCAAAGAGGAGTGGGACAAAATCCCTCCTGAGATGTGTGCAAACCTGGTGGCCAACTACAAGAAATGTCTGACCTCTGATTGCCAACAAGGGTTTTGCCACCAAGTACTAAGTCATGTTTTGCAGAGGGGTCAAATACTTATTTCCCTCATTAAAATGCAAATCAATTTATAACATTTTGACATGCGTTTTCTGGATTTTTGTGTTTGTTATTCTGTCTCTCACTGTTCAAATAAACCTACCATTAAAATTATAGACTGATCATGTATTTGTCAGTGGGCAAACGTACAAAATCAGCAGGGGATCAAATACTTTTTTCCCTCACTGTAGGTTTATGAATCACGTCATACAGCAGGGTTCCCCAATAGGCGGCCCGTGGGTGAATTTATTTGGCCCCCCACGTTATTCTGAGCAAAAAATATATAATTGCTTGGACATAAGATTGTAAAATCACCAGGAAGTTAGAATTCCCATGCATAAATAGGGAGGAATATTGGATCGTATGCCAATGTAATGAAGATTTAAAATTATTCTGTTTTTCCTCAAATACTCCGTTTGGGATTCTTGCGGCCAATTTGCAGTGTACAAAACAATTAGCGTGTTGTGTGATGTAATCTTTATAGTTATGCTGCCATACAGCCAGCTGTCTGCCTCCTGTTTAGCCAATGTTTGCAATGACCATGAAAAAAGAACATTAAATGGCTATTGACTGCTGTTTTGTGAACAAGTGGCAGCATCACAAGTGACTGATCAGCAACTGAAAGGAGGTAGGCTAGTGGATCCTGCATGCGCAGAAATCTGTCTCCAGTCTGATTCCAGAAAATCTGGAACCACAACCACTCCGAATTATTTATTACTATGTTCCAGGTCGGCCCCCCGCTCAAGGAAAAATCGGCCCATGGCTGAATGTAGTTGGGGACCCCTGTCATACAGCCATGGAGTTCAGCGCTCTGACTGACTGCTTGAGCCACACAACATTACAAAGAGGCAATGAAATCAAAGTTCAGAAGTAGTACTAAGAGCATAACCATTTAACTTGTAAGAATATTATATAAAGCACTTACGTCTTTGATTCTGGCTAACAGATGGGGAGTTCTGCATAGACCTAAGGAAATAAATAAGTTGAATTGAAGATGTCAGAAAGTGCACAGCAATCTGTTGGTGAGTTTTTCTTTGCCGTTTTTAAAGGTAAAAATAGGTCCTTACTTTATTTGATTGAGTGTGAAATCAAGCTTTTTCCACAATGATGTCATCATGATGGGTATCTGAGTCTCTTCACTGGTCTCTAAGCAGAAATAGCAGGGAAGTGTGACAACCAAGAATACAATACAAACACGTGAAAGTCCTGTACTCATTTAATGAAAGTGGTTGAGGTCAGAGGTTACACTTACCTTTAGCTTTGACAGCAACATACTCATTCAAAATGGTTGTCAGGTTTTTTCCAAAGAGGGACTGCAATGGGAGTACACATGAATTAGCTACCTAGCTAAGTAATCCACTAAATAACTCACTGTAACTAGATATTGTCATTAGAATGACAGAGTTGAACACAGCTATATGAAGTCTGAACTGACAACATACTTACAAACACACAAGCAGGAATAGTTCCATCATCTGAGCTGTGTTCTGCGTACTCCTTCAAATTGGGGCTTTCGCGAATTAAAGCCTGGCTTGTAGAACACAGTCCCTCTTGTTGCAGGTATCCTGTAAAAACAGTGTACAAGGGAGTAGCTGAATTTGAGGCTCAGCATGTCACACGAAGAGTAAGTCAAACCA